GAACCCCTTTGTCGTATCTCTAATTTTTATTCAATATAGATTACATAATGCTTATTGAAAGTATTTGTTTTATTCACCGCTGGTTCGGAAAAAAACCTCTGTACTGGGACCAGAAGAACCAGCAAGAAACCCAGCGGGACTTTTTTTAAACGTATTTCACTTCGCAATAATTGTGTTTTTTGATTGTACACATTTTAAATGAGTTTTAATAGAACCAGTATTATGTATTGTTGATATTATAATAAACCTTTTTGTACAATTTTTCTTTTATAAAACATTTAAACTAGACTTTTGTACATTTTCTGGGATTTTGTTGTAAAAGCTTATACATTGCCCCATAAATGAATACTAATTCTGTGGAGTATAGTTACTAGTATTACAAGCTTATCTTTGTTCCTAGTGTTTAAGGTGAAATGGCCAGGTTAGCCCGCGAAATTCAAATTATCTTACGTTTTTAGCAATTTGCAGGTCAGTGTCAGGTGGTATGTTTAACAAAATATGTTAAAGTATGAACATTTTTATTCTTATCAAAGCTATTCATGTTTTTATGTACATACATTACATTTTCATAAATATATTGCGATGCCAAAGTTAATATTTTTATTTCTTTAAATTTTTCTCTAAGGGAGAAAAGCAATTTAAGTTATAAATCCCCCGTACGGCTCTCTTTTGCAAAACACAAATATGGCTTCGATGTCAGACGCATTACCCCATAGCAAAATTCCATAAGACATCACGCTATGAAAGTAACTAAAATAAACTTATCTATCTGTCTCAACATTGGTGAGACTTCTAATATTTCTTACAGCATATGCTACAGAACTAATTCTGCCTGCTAATTTAGATATATGAGTTCGCGTCAATAGTAATATCAAGAAAAACAGTGAGAGTTGACACTGAGACATTTAATTTCATTAATAAATAAATTAAACATATAATCTATTATATCCTTTTATATATTTTGAAATAAGTATGATTTACATGTATGTGTTTGTGTGTGTATATGTGTGTGCGTGTGCGTGTGCGTGTGCGTGTGTGTGTTCTCCCAATAAATAAATTGGACTGAACTAATATGGACATCACTCATTTTATCAAAAGTATTAAAAAAGATATATAAATAATATTTACCAAAATAAATTGTGATCCAACAGTTAAGATACTTTTATAAAAAGGTCTCCGAGCGAGTCCCTTGGTGTAATATTGTAAAGAGCAGTTCGCCTTTTTCTCTATAATTAGAATGGTTTGTCTGGGCTGCATCGTTAAAAATCTATTCTTAAAATTTCTAACATCCCGGATATCTTAACTTAATCCATTCCCTGTCTCGTAACCCACATACTATTGTTACTTTCCTATAATATGTATAATTTTCTAATATAGCCAAATAGTTTGGAAAATTCAAAAATGCTCTCTTCATGAACGTTTCATTTAATGTAGATGATAAAAATGTATTGTATTCCTGACTTTTAAAATATATTATTAAAGTGTATTAAATTTAGCGCTCTATGATTTTAATCGGTAGTGTCACCTACAGGAAAAAAAATTTAAAATTTTTTACCAACATAAATCGATTACATAAAGTATAAATTCAACAGCATGAGTTGTGCGTTCGTGAAATTAAGCGGCTGGGATTAATCCGAACAATTCCTCAGAGTCCCCTATTGGTAAATGCGAAAATAATGCAAAGAGATACAATATCTCTTCGCAGCGCCAATGAATCGAGCCGATCGGTAAGGACTCGGTCGTCGACGATTCGAGCCGCTCTGCGCTGGATGCCGTCAAGTGGAAGGAACTGGCACTGAGGAGCGCCAGCCCAGAGATATGAACAGTATTGCATGGGAGGCCGAACCTGCGCCTTGTAAAGTTGCTGGCGGTGTGCCGGCACGAAATACTGTCCCGCTCTGCTGAGCACGCCAAGCTTTTTAGAGGCCAATTTGGCCTTCTCTTCCAACTCTCCTGTTCCCCGTGTCCTACCGTCCTACGTGTGACTACCGCCGCCCATGAATAACTGCATCACCAGGGGAACCAGGGGAATTGCATATGCGTTACCGGCCTTTAAAACTGTGTAGTATGGTAACTCTCTATTACCATGTAGAGACGGTGTAAGAATATCAACTACTCCAAATCTTCCCGTAGGTGTCGTAAGAGGCGACAGACGGAAACAAATCGGGAGATGGCAGCAGCGCCTTCCTAATAACGACTAAAATAAAAAATAAAACCCGCTTGCACAGCGGGACAACTAAGGCAAATATTCCCCCTATGAGGCAATCTATGGGGGAGGAATATGTTCAGCAGTGGACTTATGAAAGGCTGTAATGATGATGATGATGGCAATTCCCTATGAGGTATAATCTATGGTGGGGCGGGGCTATGTTCAGTAGTGGTAATTCAACTGTAATGGATGGATGTATAGAAGATAATCTACCAGGAGCACATGACCCACTGAGAGGTGAAATTATTAAATCAACAGTAACATTACAACTATGGCAAATAAATATACCCCTATGAGGCAATCTATGGGGGAAGCCTATGTTCAGCAATGGACTTAAATATGCTGTAACGTTAATTGTCTTACAATTGTCTTAAAATTCGACAGTGAAAGTGTTAAGCTACCAAAATATTTTCCTTGGCATTATTTGTGACAATTATTGCTAAAATAGATAATACAGAAAATTACAAACCATACTTCGTAAAATATAATCTGATAACCTGAATAAGCTGAAGACCAACTGTGTCAGCATCGTTTCCGGAACACCTGAGATTTTGAGTGAGATTGAGAGGTTCTATGGGCAGCTGCACACGTCATCGTTGGAGCCACAGGCAAGTGTGAGTAGCGATCAAAGAGCAAGTCTTATCCGACACTATTCCGTTGATATCCCGGACGTCAGTCTGAGCGTGATTAGAATGGCTCTCCAGCACCTTAAAAACGGGATGGCCCTAGGTGAAGATGGAATTAAAACGGAGCTTCTGAAATCGGGTGGAAAACTGGTACTTGAAGTCCGTCAGAAGCTCTTAATTCCGTCCTCCATGGTGGGACCTCTCTGGAGACGTGGAGTAGAAGTGAGATCTTCAAGAAAGGCGACAACGCTCTCTTGAAGAACCACATACCGATTTCCCTTCTGAGCCACGTCTACGTACTGTTTTCGAGAGTCATTACGAATCGTCTCGCACGCAGACTTCCCGAACAATTTGGTTTCCGAAAAGGTTTTAGTACCATAGAGCACATACATATCGGCAAATTTTACAGAAGAGTACAATCTTCTACTTTGCCTAGCGTATGTGGACTATGAGAAAGCCTTTGATTCCGTCGAAATTTGGGCGGTGCTACTGTCTCTTCAGCGGTGCCAAGTTGACTGTCGGTACATCGAAATGCTGAAATGTTTGTACAGTAGGGCTACGATATCTATACGAGTACAGAACTAGAGTACGAAACCTATCCAACTGCAGAAAGGTGTAAGACAGGGTGACGTTATATCCCCGAAACTCTTCACCGCTGCTTTGGAAGACGTTTTCAAGCTACTAGACTAGAAAGGATACGGTAATAACATTAATGGCAAGTACATCACTCACCTTTGATCTGCCGACGATATAGTCCTTATGGCAGAATCGCTGGAGGATCTCAGCACTATGCTCAATGACCTCAACAGTGTCTCCCAACGGATAGGTCTTAAGATGAACATGGACAAAACAAAGATCATGTGTAATATCCATGTCACACCTATGCCGGTAGTTGCTGGGAGCACTAAGCTCGAAGTTGTTGACGAGTATGTTTACCTGGGACAAATAGTCCGATTAGGTAAGTCCAACTTCGACCGAGAGGTCAATCGACGGAAGCAACTCGGCAACTGTTCGGGAAATTACGACACATCTTCTCGTCAGGTATACCTCAAAACCTGATAAGCGAAATTGTACAACCAGTGCGTGTTGCTAGTGATAATTTATGGATCTCAGACGTGGTCCTTCACTGCTGGCCGTATGAGGACGCTCAAGGTCGCTCAGGGAGCTATGGACAGGGCTATGCTTGGGGTTTCTTTGCGTGATGAACTTAGGAATGAGGATATCCGCAGTAGCACCAGAGTGACGGACATAGCCCAACGGATTAGTAAGCTGAAGTGGCAATGGGCCGGCCATATAGCTCGAAGAACCGGCAACCGATGGAGAAAAAAGGATCTCGAAGGAAGGCAGCTTTGTACCGGTAGGCGGAGTGTAGGGCGTGTGGTGCAAAAATTAAAAATGAAAACTGAAGCATTGTGTTTTGTATTAATATAATACTCTAGATAATAATAAACTATTATTTAAAACTAATTTCACAATTAACTAACATTGTGTAACAAAAAACTTCTCTCAACAACTCAGTCACAACTAGCGACATCTGTGAGTGGAATATTATTAGGCCTCATTGTTTAACTCTTATAACTTTCTCAGTTATAAGAATTAAACAATTAATTAATTCAGTATGTTACTTATGTTAGGCACAAACTTATTAAATATAGGCCTGTGCGTATATTTAATAAGCCATAACATAAATTGATTGAGAAGATTGAATTATTTAATAATAAATAATGTAATACCCGAAAAAGTGGTTAAGTTTTATGAGACACCATATTATAAATTAACACCAAATGTATAACACCTAACTTTATTCATGGTAGAGCCACACGCCAGTTATTTTATGGTTGTAGCACGAATGGGTCGGCACGATCGGAGTAGGACCACGCTCTCACAGAATACCAGCGTAAAATAGCAGCTCAATGCTACTGTGTTTCGTATGGTGAGTGTGGGATATCGGAGACCATTTTTACTAGAAACGAGGCATCTTAGATCTCAGGAGTAACAACGCATCTGCATTTTGATTCTTAATCGAGTATAAATGTAGATGTCTATGGGCCACAGCATCCACTTACCATCAGGTGGACTGTGTGCTAGTTTGTCAACTTTATTCTATAAAAAAAAAAGTTACAATAAATATTTTGAATAAGAATTCGAACTAATCAACTTCTCAGGCAATAAAGTTTCGCGGGCTGAACCCTTTGTCCCCTCGGAGCTCTGTGAAGCAGCCCAGCACAGTCATCAAGGACAGTTCAAGTGCACCGGCGTGCAATAGCTTCGAGTCCTCGGAGAGTAGCGACAGTACTGCAACGGTAAGTTGGTTTCACTATCAGTTATCATACTACCAAAGAGTACATCATTGAAAATAACCCTTGGGAATAAGGTGATCGTTACCATGCTGTTACTAAATGTTTTCATATTGATCGTATAAAGAGGAGACCGAAATATTAGGAAACTCTTTATACTGTATTCTATCTCATTCTCTCACAGGCTAAATCCTATAGATGTATATGTGTGTCTCTTTTCTTGGAGTTTCAAGAATTTCTTCTTCAAAAAGAACTATCAGATAAAGCCTAACAGCAGAAGTATTTTTTCATAGAATTAAAAGTCACAAATAAGCACACAGTCCACCTGATCATAAGTGGTTGCCGTGGCCCATAGACATCTACATATATCCTCGATTAAGAATCAAAATGCAGATGCGGATTAACCCTTGTGGGCTAAAATGGAATGCCTCGTATCCATTAAAAAAGGTTAACAGTGGTAGAGCCACGCTGCAGCTTCAGCTGTAGCACGGATAGGCCAGCTCGAACCATGGAAGTATCACGACCTCACAGAGTACCAGCGTAAAGTAGAAGCTTTACTTCTGTGTTTCGCTTAGTTAGTGCAGATGGCCGGAGCCTATGTAAGGAAGATACCAGCACTCCTGGTAATGATGCCCTCACTGAGCATCCTTCTTCCTGAGTTTGAGTGCTCAGGCTGCCCCGCGTTTTCTGGGGGTTGGGGGGAGGGACAAAATCCCGCTCACTACTAACACTGCACGGGGCAAACAGAGCGATAGAAGCATGGCAACCCCTGCCACTCTATCTGTGGGCTTTTGCAATATCTTGGGACTTCACTCAAACATCAACGTGTTCCACAAGGCTGCGTGCTATCACCAACGCTGTTTCTCTGCATATGTTGCAAACCGGTAACATTCATTGCTATGCGGATTGGGGGCGACTAAATCTAGTCCAGTTCAATCCCCAGAAGACACAAGTTTGCGCGTTTACCGCTAAGAAGAACTTCTTTGTCGTGTCTCCTCAATTTCAGGGCACTCCCCTTGTTTCCTCAGCCAGTATCGGAATCCTCGGCGTCGACATATCGGATGGCGTGCGGTTTCGTGTCGTCAGTTCCAAATTGGCCTCTAAAAAGCTTGGCGTGCTCAGCACAGCGGGACAGTATTTATTGCCGGCTCACCGCCTGCAACTTTACAAGGGGCAGATTCGGCCGCACATGGAATACTGTTCCCATCTGTGGACCGGGGCTTCCCAGTGCCAGCTACTTCCATTTGATCGCATCCAGTTCAGAGTGGTTCGAATCGTAGGCGACCGAGCTCTTTCTGATCGGCGTGACTCACTGGCGCTGCGAAGAGATGTTGCATCTCTTTGCTTATTCTATCGTATTTACCACGTGGAGTGCTCAGAGGAATTGTTGTGACTAATTCCTGCACTCAATTTCACCAGCGCACATCGCGACAGAACTCGAAATACCATCCGTATCATCTCGACCGTTGGCGGTCCATGTGATTTAGAAGAAGTTTTCTTCCTCGCACAACTTCTTTGTAGAATCGAATACCACCAGCAATTTTTCCGGGCCGATACGACTTAGGGACCTTCAAGAAAAGAGCCTACTCTATTTTAAAAGGCCGGCAACGCCTGTGTTGCAATCATTAATGGTCAGCAGTAGTCACTTACCATCAGATGAGCCGTATACTCGTTTGCCCTCTCTCTTATATCAAAAAGGTTTTCCGGTCTCTACATTCATAGGAACACAGAAGTCTTATGCTGCTATTTGACACTTCTCTTCTGTGACTATAATATAGCTGCAGCATGGCACGTACAACGTTGTTCCCAGCAACTAGCACAGCAGTCGCAGTCGTCTGCCGTCCCCCGGGCCCGCTGCCTGAACGCACCGGCGGTGCACCACCCGTGCTACCGCTGCTCGTCCGTCAATGAGGCCATCGGCAAGAAGATCTGCAGGAAGCACCCGCTCGCGCTCATCGCACACACGGAGACCCAGCTCGTGAGGACCTATCCCGCGGGGTGAGTTACTTACCCCAAGCAACCTGTATCGTGGGGGGGGGGGCAGTTTACATAGATAAATTGCACAAGGACAAACAATTATTTAAAAAGAAACGTTATGTTTTTCTTTCTTTTTAAGTTTATTGTCATAATAGTTGCTGACGCTTCTATGAGTCATAGATAGGATTCAGCTGGACGTGTAATAAGTATATAGAAAATTTTGTGTGTGAAAGTAAAACTCATCGCCAACCAGAAAAGGCAGAACAACGTCTGCCATGCCAGCTAGTTTATAAATAATTCCTATTACATTTTATTCATTACAGCCAATTAAAGTCCACTGCTGAACATAGGCCTCCTCCGTGGATTTCCTCATTGGTATTTGCCATAGTTGTAATGTTACTGTTGATTTGAAAATTTCACCTCTCAGCGGGTCATGTGCTCCTGGTAGATTATCTTCTATACATCCGTCCATACTGCTTAATATGCTGAACATAGGGGGAGACCTATGTTCCAGCAGTGGACTTATAGGCTGTAATGGATGGATGTATAGAAGATAATCTACCAGGAGCACATAATCTACTGAGAGGTGACATTTTCAAATCAACAGTAACATTACAACTATGGCAAATATCCCCCCCATGAGGCAATCTATGGAGGAGGCCTATGTTCAACAGTGAACTTTTATAGACTGTAACGGATGATGGATTGATGAATTTACTTTTTTTTAAGGTACTATTTGACTGATGATCTTGAAGTCCCGCGTCGGGTCATAAACATAGGTTTTTCTGACATGAAATTCTCAGTACTGGTGAAACATCGCCAACTATGTTTCACCCCCGTGCCTCGGAAGCCATCGGTCCTGCGTCTGACCTACTCATCAGACTACGAGGGTGATTGAATAGAGAGTGCACCTGTGCTTGCGCACACAATCGTGCCTCCTCCATCTTGTCCTGTGCAGATGGCTAGTCTCCGTTGAGGCTGGCCGCCGTGACCGAAAACTCCGTCGGGACATTAAATAAATTGAAAAATAAAAGAAATATCTTATCGGTGTTCTTTTCACAGGCTAAGGATAGACTCGTCCAACTTCGACCCGGTGACCTTCTGGTCTTGCGGGGTCCAACTGGTGGCACTGAACTACCAGACGGAGGACGCCGCGATGGCGGTCAACGCCGCCATGTTCGAGAGCAACGGCTGTGTGGGATACGTCAGGAAGCCACCCGTCATGTGGGACCCCAACCATATAGCCTACAGGCGGTAAGTTACATTGATATTTTGGAACGAAGTTCCTTATCGGACGGTACGGGTTTGGCGGATGGGAGCTAGGCGACAAAAAGTGTAAGATTTTTACGTCACTACCCCTTGTGTCATAGTGTAAACGGCCTTGGCGGCGATATAACGAAGTGAGATGGAATAATATCCATCTCCCTCGCACTTTTTCTTATCTTGCCATGAAAGAAATAATATTTTATTTCAAATGACGCTTCATTTTAATAGACGCCAGTAATTCAGTTATTTGTATTTGTTAATCAATAATATAATAACTACGTTCATCAATAATAATATACTACTAAAGGAACTTGGTTCCAACCGAGTGTTCCACGACACTCACGCATTTTTTATTTATTTATTTACTAGCTGTTCCTCGCGACTTCGCTCGCATGTTATTTGGGGTTTTAGTTTTTTTGCACGAAACCCTAATTATTTTTCTAAAATAAAAGTATTCTAAGTTACTCCTTATGATATCAGCTATCTGCCAGTGAAAGTCCCGTTCATAGCGTAATGTCTTATGGAATTTTGCTATGGGGTAATGCGACTGATATTGAAGCTATATTTGTTTTGCAAAAGAGAGCCGTACGGGCGATTTATAATCTAAATTGTAAAGAGTCCTTCAGAGAAAAATTTAAAGAAATAAACATATTAACTTTGGCATCGCAATATATTTATGAAAATGTAATGTATGTACATAAAAACATAAATAGCTTTAATAAGAATAAGGATGTTCATACCTTAAACACTAGGAACAAACATAAGCTTGTAATGCCACTTACAAGACTCCACAGAATTAGTAATTCATTTATGGGGCAATGTATACGCTTTTACAACAGAATCCCAGAACATGTTCAAAGTTTGTCAATAAACAAGTTTAAAAGTTTTATTAAAGAAAAACTGTACAAAAAGGGTTATTATAATATCAAGGAATACATGAATGAAAATAACCCCTGGGAATAAGGTGATCGCCACCATGCTGGTTCTATGAAAATTCATTTAAAATTGTATAAACAAAATTATTGTTAAGTGAAATTATGTTTAAAAAAAAAGTCCCGCTGGGTTTCTTGCTGGTTCTTCCCAGGACAGAGGTATTTTCCGAACCAGTGGTAAATAAAATAATGACTTTCAATAAGTATTATGTAATAATCCATATTGAATAAAAATCATTCTATTCTATTCTATTCTATTCCGTCAAAATCGGTCAAGCCGTTACAGAGATTAGTCGGAACAAACAGACAGACAGACAGACAAAATTTTTAAAAATTGTGTTTTTCTCTTAAGTATCGTATATAATTTCATATGTATTTAGTAAAAAGTCGTAATTTTGACATTACAAACAGACACTTCTATTTTATTTATTTGTATTGATGTATAGATTAGTTTCACCATGTTGTTTTACGTGGGAGAGCCATGCTGCAGCTATACAGGGTTATTTTGCAATAACCGGCCAAATTTGCAAAGAATGCTTAGTATAAGTAATATAGGCAAATTCTGAAGAAAATAATTAAAAAAAATCCCAAACATTCTGTCCTTTTTATCTTTTAAATTCAAAATGCGTGGTAATGCATTATTTTAACTGATTTTACTGCGCACGCACAAATTTATAAGAGTCGATCGGTAGGCGAAAACGTTATTGTTGTTGCCCATAAGTAACATTCAGTTTGGGGTAATTTCAAATAAAGGTAGAAGCCTTATTTACCCGTATTTAAAAAAAATGCAATAACGGTATATCATTATTTATATAATTAAACTTAAGTTTAAAAGGACAAGGGTCACGGCCCATACATGCTGTGACCTGGCTATAAAATATCGCGAACATGACTAGTGTATGGATTAATCCGTTCCCCCTGGTCACAATCTAAGTCCTAAATTGAAAATATATTATTTAAAAGCCGAGGATTATACTTATGTATTTCGTCACTTTTGAGGTTATGACTACAATTTCAGTTAAAACAATTGATATTAGAACTATGCAGTAATATATACTTAACTAAATAAGTCAAGTCAATGGCTAAAACCACAAAAATGAATCAATATCCTTTCTAATCTATTCACTGATAAGTGTCTAAGACACAGGACACAGGTGCTTTGACTTTTGCTCACGTTTTCACAGCTCTCGTGTCATAATACCACAGACTGCATAGAGACACTCATAATACGTTCCGTTCTAAGTAATAGTGCATTCTAATTTACTGTCGACCTATCATTTGCAACTTATTTCTCTCCATCTCATATTATCTCCATCTAAAAATGATATTATTGATTACACTATATGTACAAAAATAAATAAAAAATCTACAAATAAATCTCATATTTAAAAAAGTAAACGCAATATGGTAGTATTACTTTAGTGTTATGATAAAACATGTGCCACAGATAAAAACGGGACGGGTTTAGATGCGTTCAAAACATATAAAAAGTATTGAGGAGATGAGGTTTTTCATTACAAAACTGAATTATTTTACCGGTTCCAATAAAACAAGTTGGACCCCGTAATTTAATATACACCTAAGTCACTATTTTTTGACGTATGAATCATTGGTGGTCGTTTCATATTTTAGTCAGGTCTTATTTGACCGATGTTCTTTGGCTACTCTTTGAAAAATAACCCTGTGTTAAGGTTGTAGCACAATGTGAACGGGTTTACTCGTGTAGTGAGTGTAGAGAATCGGAGACCATTTTAACTGGAAAGGAGGCATTCCGTCTTAGACACAGATCATATAAACAACAGTATATGTATATGATCTGTGGTCTTAGGCATTAGGGATGGCAACGCATCTGCATTTTGATTCAGATGCGTTGCCACCCCTGACGATATATGTATAGATGTAGATATTATATGTCTATGGGCCACAGCATCCAATTACAATAATTTTATTCTAAAAAAACAGTAATGAGTTAAATATTATTAGGTGAATAACTAACAAAAAATTGTCCTATAAGCGAATTACTTTATTGGTTTAAAATCGAAATAATTAAATGCTTGCTGTATGTAATTTTATATGTTTTCTTTCTCAGATCGAGTGTTATGTTTTTCGAGTGTATGTATGTACGTACGTATATCTATTTATTTGGCACACTCTATAGCCTAAACGGCTTGTTAAATTTTAGTCGTTAGAATCGTTCTAGTTGTAGAAGTGAGATAGGGTAGACAATTTCTCCCATTTTGGTAAACTTTTATAAGCAATCAGGTTTTTTTTATTATTATTATAGTACGTGACGGTATAATGGTCATCCGGTTAATATGCTCACTTTCTTATAACTCAAAAACTACAGCCTTGTTTGTATAGATGGCTCTATGATATCATCATCATCAGTCATTCAAATAATAAAGGGTCAAAATGGCGTCGCTTTATCGACGCCATTTTGACAGTTAATAATATTAAGTATAGTAAATATTTTAGACGATTTAAGTATATTGGGTAGTGTAATTAGTTTTTTTTTTAAGTATTTTTTGAAGTGTTCCTAATTATTGCCAAATCTTGTTTGCTATTTTTTTCTTAATATATTAGTTATAGTATACGACATTGTGTATTTGTCTCTGTCCTCCTCCTAGTTTTGGTTTTATAGGGCGACAAAGCTTAAGGCGACCATATTATTCTGACGTACCTTACTGTTGTATCAATTGAGCTTATTACACGTGGTAGAGCTATGTTGCGGCTATATTATGGTTGTAGCACGAATGGGCCACTATAATCGGGGAAAGACCACGCTCTGACAGACTATCAACGTGAAATAGCACGAAATAAACGTAGAATAGACAGGCCGCCGTGACCGAAGTTCAGTCTAGAGGAGATTATTACACCAAATAGCTAGCCGAGTCGATTCGCTGGTAAAATGGAGCCAATATATTAATCGTTTCAATTTCTACGTGGTAGAGTCATAGTGCAGATATATCATGGTTAAAGCTGTGTTATAGCTACATCACGAATAGATTGGCACGACCGGAGAAGGACCGCGCTCTCACAGAATACCAGCGTGATACAGAGCAGTTTAATGCTGCTGTGTTTCGTTTGGTGAGTGTAGAGGATCGGAGACCCTTTTTACTGGAAACGAGGCAATTTGTTAATCAGCACAACGTGTACATTAAATCAGGTAGACTGTGTGCTCGTTTGTCACCCTTACTCACGCGAAAAAAAAATCAAACATTTTTGTAAGAAAGTTTGATTACCTGGTGATCCGCCAGTCATGATCATTTTCCAACAGTGGGCTTGAAAAGGCTAAAGACGAAAGAATAAAAATAAATAGAATAATTTTTTTTTTATTCTATATAGACCACAATATGTAAATCCTTATCGAAAGTCATTTTCTAACGACTTCAAAAAGGAGCCGGTACTCAATTCGACTGTATGTTTTTTTTATGTGTGTTACCTCATAACTTTTTACTGGGTGAACCGATTTCGTTGATTCTTTTTTTATTTGAAAGCTGGTACTTCACATGATGTCCCATATAAATTTGATCAAAGTCTAACAATTTTTCTAAAAATTTTTTGCGTTATTCCTAATAATTTATATTGAAGTCGGTTGTAGAAACTTTTTAATTTTAAATTATTTACTTTACCTACCACTGGTTCGGAAAAAATACCTCTGCCCTGTGAAAAACCAGCAAGAAACCCAGCGGGACTTTTTTGTAAAGCAAATGTTACATGAAGGTTGCACAAACTATTTACAAAATTTATTTTAGAAACTGCTTGGAAGCAACCACCTCATTCCGAGGGGTTATTACCAACTCCTATTCATTTATATTATAATAACCCTTTTTATACAATTTTTAAAAATAATGATGAACATCTTTTCCGACTCAATCAGGTTCAACCCTATGGACAAGGAGTTTGACGGCATCCATTCGGCGCATCTGACTCTAGCGGTGATCTCCGGGCAGTACGTGGCAGAGAACGTATACTCTTTCTACAACGCGTTCGTGGAAGTGGAGGTGCTGGGTGTCCCGGCCGACTGCAAGAAGATACGGACTAAGGTCGCCAGGAGGAACGCGCTGAATCCCGTCTGGAACGAGACCTTCAGCTTCAAGGTGGGTAGTGTCATATTGAAACATTGAATTTAAAAAAAAACTATTTTTATGAAATCATGGATGTTTATTGTTAAATATAAGAAAGCATTATATGGTAACATTTTAACCGACTCCAATAAAGAAGAAGGTACTCTATTTGAAGGTAATTTTTGTATGTATATCACGCGATATCTTCGCTAATCGTGAACTAATTTTAACTATTATTTTTATTGATGGTTGTTTCGTTTAAATTTATAGAATAATTTCACACCTTGGGATGGACAAACAGGAAATGAAATATTAAATATAACATATTATTACATTGTTGAGAAAATCTCTGTCCGATCCGTGAGGGTGTTTCAGTTATGGTGTATGATTCTGTTCTTTAAAGATAAATAAAAAAAATACTTTATAAAAAATAAAAATAAATATAATTAAAGGAGGAAACCACAGTTATATTAATTAAACGTACAATACATGCGATACAAGCGGTCGTGTGCGTAAAAATACCGTCACACGTTCAACTTCAAATATGCCGTCACCGAAACGGTGTTGCCAGTTTTTAAAATTTTCCTATATTTTAAGCAATTTGTTGTAATACCAAATATTTTAAATAACAATAACATTTTATTTACATTAATAATATTTTTTTGGTAATGTCATTGCGTGTCTCATTCCGATCGGTAAGGGCTTTCTTTACATATTGTCTAGACGAAGTTCTCGTTCTCGGCTTGAGCTTGTGTTATAGTTTATTTTAATCAAAAAGGGTCCAAAAATCAAAAACTAACAAGTGGTAAAGTTAAAAAATTTGTACATCCGACTCCAATAAAAATTATTAGTGGATAACTCAAAAACTACTAGTCAGATCTTTATGAAATTTATATGACCACGTGAAAAGCACCTGCTTTCAAATAAAAAAAGAATCATCGAAATCGGTTCACTTAGAACAAAGTTATGAGGTAACACACATACATAAACATACAGTCCAATTGAGTACCTCCTCCTCTTTGAAGTCGGTAGAAAATACCGAAATATGATCTTATCTGGTCTGGTCTCTATAAAAGACTTTCTATGTTTCTACTATACCGACAATTTAGAACAGAAACTCTGTCACAGCTGTGGCTCGGTTGCTAGCGGGTAGCTGGCACGGTAAATATGGCACGCAGTTGTATGCGCGAAGCGCGCATGTATGTTCTGCTAGGGCCTAAAAATTAAGATTCCAACGTTTTGTCGCATGAAATCGTATATAGCAATCATATTATACATATAAATGATATAAAAAGCACATTGTCAGAAAGATAAATGATTGTTGAACTTATTACTTTTTATTTTATTTACGACAGTCACTGTTTTTAGGCAAATATGTGACATACTTATCTGTATATAAATTTCAAATCACGTTGACAAAGTGCGCATATAAATAATGACGCGGCGTTTTCTTAGTCACATTAAACAAAATCAGTGTTAGATAGACGAACACAAGGACGTAGTTTACAGAACAAAGAACTGGTCTCGTCGCCGGCTCGCAGTCGACTAAAGGAGTTATGGAGAATTGACCGTAACTTACTGCGCAATATTGAGGCCGCAGATCCCGTCTAGTAGTATATAATGAATCCTTTAGTTACTACAGGTGACGCTATGGTCGAGTTATTAATATTTTTTTTATTATATAAACTTCTAACGTCACCTACCGGAAAGTCCACAACAACTTATTCCGGACCAGCACTCTTCCCAAGGCCTTCTGGCTACGGGTTACTTCATCACCACCTGAAAAGACTAAGATGGTGTTCCTCGTCAACAGATCAACTTCCCCGAGCTGGCCTTCGTTCGCTTCGAGATCTACGACGCGGATACGAACTATATGTTGTCGCAGCGAGTCATACCGCTTCTCTGCTTGCGCCCAGGATACAGGCACGTGAGGTTACGGTAGGTGCAATCAACATATCTTTCTTTTTTGGACATTGGCAAATGCAATTTTTATTTATTTCCAAAAATAAAAGACAAACTTCGAGAAAAACTTTTATGGACGTCGATGAAGCAGTGGCTGCGTATCAAAACGCCGTCGAAGAGTAAAGACGAGTGGGCAAAGTGCTTTTCTCAATGGTACTATCAGATGCAGCGATGTATTGATGTAAATGGATACTATTTTGAAAAGATATAATAAAACTAATAACTTGCTAGTTTGTTCAGTTTTTGATTTTCTAAGAGCTTTCAGTGTCACCTTCGTACGAGATATCTTCGTCAATTTTGAACCGAATTTAATATGAAATTAAAGAAAATACAATCCCATATGAAATTAAAGAAAATGTAATTCTATATGAAGTTAAAAAAGTGTGTGTGTACTTATGTATGCATGTAGGAACTTATACTTCTTTAGCGTAACAAAACAAAAAAATCTTGAGATACAACTACCCACTGAGGTTGTCGCTTTTAGGTGTCAGTGTGCGCGCGCATCGTAACAACTTCATGGTGTCGTTCTTAGGTGTCGGTGTGTGCGCGCATCGTAAAAATACACTCTCGTCATTTCCCCAAAGGCCCCAAAAGAAGTGTAACTTAAAATCACCCATTTTAAGAAGTTTAATTTAAAAGGTAGTGCTTTAGTCTTTTTAACACTGTTTCACATCCGGGGCCTTTTTATACAATAAGAATGACAAACGATCACACAGTCCACCTGATGGTAAGTGGATGCTGTGACGTATAGACACATCAATACTCGATTAGGAATCCAAAATGCAGATGCGTTATCACCCCTGTGGACTAAGATAGAATGCTAGTTTGCAATAAAAAAGGGCCGCCGATTCTCTACATTCACAATATGAAACACAGCAGTATTGATTAAGTATTTCAGCAGGTATTTTGTGAGAGAGTGGTCCTTTTCCGGTCGAGCCGATCCATTCGTACTGCAACCATAATATAGCTGTCAAGGCAACTGCGTTTTGATTCTTATTCAAGATTAAATATAGATATAGATATCTATGGGCCACAGCATCCACTTACCATCAGGTGGACTGCGTGCTCGTTTGTCACCCTTCTTCCATAAACAATAGCTGCAGCTCTACTATACTCCATTCCTTCAAAATAATCGATATATATGTATTACGTACTAGATTGCGCATTCCGAACATACACTATGTTCAACTGAACTGTACTGCAATCCGTACAGTGTGTCATTTAGTGTGGTTTCAATCAACTAATTAGTCTGTGGTTTCAATATACATGCAGTGTGGATCGGCGCTAATAATACAAGATTCCAAATTAAAGTTTAAATTAAAAACTGACTACTATCTCCCGCGCATGCGCGAAGACATAGAGTAGTACACATTTTGTTGTTTCGAATGGCTTCTCTAGTACGTAGTACGTATAACTCAATGTTTCTAAACCAACCCATGCCTGCTCGCAGTTCCCCCAGCAACCAGCCGCTGAACATGGCGTCGTTGCTGGTGTTCTCGCGGTGCAGCGAGGAGTCGGCGTGCGGCGGCGCGGGGCCGGGCGCGCCGCGCGACCTGCGCGTGCACTTCCTCGTGGTGTACGCGGTCGCCCGCCACGAGCCCTACTCCATACTGAAGGTCACGCAGGACACCACAGCCACCGAGGTAATAATAGCAATTTCCATTGATTTTCGATCAACCTCGACAAACAAATGTGTCATGAAAATAACCTCATAAATAAAACGCACTTATTCTGATATGTGTACAATAATAATGTCCTCCAGACTTAATTTCGGTCACGGAGGCCAGTCTCAGCGGAGACTAGCCATCTGCACAGGACAGGATTATAGTGTACGAGTGTGCGCAAACACAGGTGTACTCTCTATTGCCTGCGACCTTCCGATGTAACGGAGAGATCAGGCGCAGAACTAACGACTTTACGTGCTTTCCGAGGCACGGGGGTGAGACACCGCCATCTTCCTGACTCCGGGTTGCTACTGAGAATTGCTTGATAGAAAAATCCAAAACTGATTTTGGCCCAACTTGGGATTCGAACCCGGGATCTCATGGTTGGCAATTGCGTTCACGACCACTATTATATGGTGAGTGTAGAGAACCGGAGGCCCCTTTACTGGAAACGAGGCCGTCCGTTGCAAGTGCCCGAAACGTCGGGAATTAAAAATGTTAAAATTGAACGCGATAAAATCCGTAAAATTAGTTTTATTCCATGGAATAGAATAGAATAGAATAGAATTTTTTTTTATTCATTATTGATTATTACATAATACTTATTGAAAGTCATTTTTTATTTACCACTGGTTCGGAAAATACCTCCGTCCTGGGAAGAACCAGCAAGAAACCCAGCGAGACTTTTTTTTTTCAAACATATTTCACTTAACAATAACTTCGTTTATACAATTTTTAAATGATTTTCAAAGAACCAGCATGGTGGCGATCACCTTATTCCCAGGGGTTATTTTCATTCATGTATTCCTTCATATTATAATAACCCTTTTTGTACAGTTTTTCTTTAATAAAACTTTTAAACTTGTTTATTGACAAAATTTGAATATGTTCTGGGATTTTGTTGTAAAAGCGTATACTTTGCCCCATAAATGAATTACTGATTCTGTGGAGTCTAGTAACTGGCATTACAAGCTTATGTTTGTTCCTAGTATTTAAAGTATGAACATCCTTATTCTTATTAAAGCTATTTATGTTTTTATGTACATACATTACATTCTCATAAATATATTGCGATGCCAAAGTTAATATGTTTATTTCTTTAAATGTGTATAACATGTGTTTAACATTCTTGTAAATACGAATATTAGAAATCGCAACATGTACACTGTAACACACAAATCAATTTGACTACGCTCGCGTTATCTGACACGTGGCCAAAACGCGTTGCCGGATTTAGTTAGCACTCGCCTTTCCTCGGCGATCTATGGCCCACATGTATAGTCGACTTAACTCATTACTCCACAAAAAATAGTGAAGATTGACAGTTAGCATTGGTCTCTTTCAAACTTGAGTAACATATCGACTGTAGAGCCTTAGCCAACATGTATTGCCGGCTTTACTAACTTGACCAACATGTAGACTTTAGATACTTGGCCAACGTGTTTTGCCGGCTTTACAAACTTGACCAACATGTGGACTTTAGAGACTTGGCCAACGTGTTTTGCCGGCTTTACAAACTTGAACAATATGTAAACTGTAGAGGCTCTGCCTACATGTATAATCCGTAGGGATAAAGAATGGGATTATAAATGGCGGCTCATCGAGCCCATACCTTCAACATGCACAGTACCGATAGCGAAAACTCGCTAACGGTATATCGTTACAACGTTATATTATTTGCTTAGTTGGATTTTTTTCTATTAATGAGAAAATATTTGAAAAGAATTGTCGTATAGGTACAATATTAATTTTAAAATAACATTTATAACTAGCGACCCGCTCTGGCGTCGCGTGGGTGGGATCTATTAAGGTAAATTTATTTAGATTTAAGGTAATCATTAAAGACCATTTATTTTATCTTATCAATATTTTTATTTTAATCAATATTTCTATTTTAACGAAGCCTCTAATTTTTTTGGATAAAATATCACTCCTTGTATTTTTCGGTGTTCGTTCGTGAAGTTTTATTACAATCGGTTCAGCCATTCTGAATATTGCCTCGGAGAGCATGTATCGTATAAATATTTTATACAAAGATATCAACAAACAAAATCAACAATAATTATGAAGAAAACTCTCAGAACGCGTCGTAGATCACAATTTTTTTTTTGTAGTATATTGCATTTTTTTATCATTATATCAATGACAAGTTGGAATAGAACGTACAAAAAACGGATATCGCAACATATGTTGTGCAGTCTTTACCGGCGGGTGTGAGTATAGATAGCGATAGTGTGCGAGCGAGAGATGAATAGAGGCGACGCCATTTTCAATCCCATTGTTTAAACGCACAGGTAGTAATAAATATACCTTACGGAAGTGTTCCCTGTGGTCAGGCGATAGCGCAGTGCCTGAGCAAGGCGGGCGTGTGCCGCTCGGCACGCGGCAGCTACGTGCTGGTGGAGGAGGTGGCGTCGCGCGCGCCCACGCAGCGCGTGCTGGCGCCGCACGAGCGCGTGCTGCGCGCCGCCGCACGCCCCGCCGCACGTCCCACTGCACGCCCCGCCGCGCGCTTACTGCTCAAGCGCGTCGGGGACGACCCCAGCAGTCGCGCGTGGCTCACCAGCATAAGGTGAGGGTTGGAGCCCACTTGGGGACGGTTAAACGCAGCTGCTACAGCGCGTGTGTGATGACCCTAACGGTCACGCGTGCTTCACTAGCATAAGGTGAGGGTTGGTGACTACTGGCTAAGAAGCGCCTGTACACCCGTCGGTGATGACCTCAGCAGTATGAGGGTTAGATACTACTACTACAGTCTTAACTACTATTAACAGTCGGTCATCGAAAGCGTCTAGACGGGGCAATCGTGCGTTGCGGTGCGGGGAGAGCTGCGGGTGGATTGCACCCGAGCTAACTGTCCGTTAGGGTTGTCCCGACACGCAAATAAATTAAAATGGATCCCCCCACATGTGCGGTAAAAACTGTGGGTCGTCTTCATTTAAAGATAAGGAATAAGTTTCCACATACACATTAATTTGTTTAAACGAGAAACAAAATAAAATCAGTTTTTTTTTGTTTATTACTTCCCGTTCTGACAACCCTAGCAATTTATTGTTGATGTCGGCTTTTCCGACAACGCGATGACTGACTATATGTTATACTTAGGCTGTGATACTACATTAGCTGCTATAGCGCGTGTGCGATGAACTTAGCAGTCGCGCGAGGCTCACCAGCAGATAGTAAGTTCTCGTCTGAGAAATGCTTATCGACGACAAACCTACCATTGTAAGGGTTTGCTATTGCTAGCTGTTTAAGCGTGTCGGCAACCACTCCAACAGTCACCTAGAGGACCTACTCAGCTGCTACAGTGCGTGTGGAATGACCCCAACAATCGCGCGTCTCTCCCCAATATAAGGTGAGGGTTGGTATTAGAGCCTATTAGTTCAGGGGCGCTCGTCGAGAACGATTCGGACAGGGTGAGGGTTAGTACTTATTATTCAGGCTGGCGACGACCCCGTAGCCGTGCGTAGTTTACCAGGATAAGGTAATCTATATTATCAAAAATTACCTGATGGTAAGTGGATGCTGTGTACCCATAGACATCTACATCTAGACTCAATTAAGAATCAGAATCCAGATGCATTGTCACATTGTTACAAGTAAAAAGGGTGTCCGGTTCTCTACACTCACCATACGAAACAGCATCATCCTGAGTCACATGCATCGGTCGACTCCAGGCATATGTTACCAGGTCGTCACTCCATCTGTTGGGAGTCCACCCTAAACTTTGTTTACCGATACGTGACTGTCTCTCGAGAACCTTTCTTCCGCATCGGTTGTCGGTTCTTCGAGCTATATGGCCGGCCCATTGCCGCTTCAGCTACTAATCCGTTGGGCTGTCGGTTATTCTGGTGTTACTGCGGTTATCTTTATGACGTAGTCCTATCTCGCATAGTAACCTTGTATATAATGTATATATGTATATGTATATAATGTTTATTTACTTTTAACTAAATTTAAAGGTTACTTTTAACTGAATCTTTAACCACTAGATCAACGTCAACGGACAGGTCTCGGGAGCGATCGGTGCCGTCGGACGAGGAGTGCAGCGGTCAGGAGGAGGAGCCCCGACGTCCGCCAGATAGTTTCCTGGTCTGCGTTCACAATGTCTCGCACGAAATCCCCTATGCCATACTCAAGGTTAGTAAAAGAGAAAAAAAAAACATTCGTGAGTGTCGTAGAATACGAGTTAGAACAAAGTTCCTTCGTAGTATATTGTTATTGATAAACGTATTATATTATTGATAGCGTCTATTAAAATGAAGTTTTATTTAAAATAAAATAATATTTCTTTTATGGCAATATGAGAAAAAGTGCGAGGGAGATGAATATTACTCGTATTCCATCTCGCTTCCTTATAGCCGCCAAGGTCGTCTACACTATGACACAAGGGGTAGTGACGAAAAAATCTTACATTTTTTCTCGCCTAGCCCCCATCCGCCAGATTCACACCGTTCGATAAGGAACTTCGTTCCAAAAAAAGTTATTGTTTCTTTTTAAATTATTAGTAATTAATTAGCATAAACTACGTATATTCGTAAAAGTTCCGGCCGAGGCATTGTTTTGTGTATATAGGTACGAGTACATACACTATAAATCGAAAAAACAACATATTTTTACTTAAGGTGAATATGTTACCTACAAATAACTTCACGTCGGTCCCAACTAACGTCATCTGGTGAGCGGAAAATTATTAGCTTTCATTCACTGAACTTTGTCGTATAAGAAAGTAATTATAATCTTTACATCTGGTATCGGGCAGCTTGAATCAACTCGGCCATATCTTTAACATGACTTTTTTACATGGGAAATACGCGCATACCCGCCGGGGGCAAGGACGGGTTACGTCGGACTCGCGCCGACTAAAACCCCATGATGTTCCACTTTCATCGGATATGGGCAGGGCCACGGGATGTGACTTCTCTAAGCCAACTCATTGTTTTGCTTCAGGTGCCTCTAACTGCAACGGCGTCCTACGTCGTGTACCAAGCTCTGACCAAAGCGAGATGCCAGGACGACCCGAAACGGTAAGAACTGGTCACTGCTTATTCTTAACGGCGAGCAAATAGCCCACAGCTGGCATTGAACCTCTCCTTAGTAATGCTATGTTTACATGCTTGCCAAATCTTAGCAAGCTTCCACATGCTTCAGGACTATACAAATGCTAGGCTTGCATTTTGGGAAGCATTTACATGCTTGTCAATACGTCAGTGTGCTCCGAATTGACAAGCATGGCGGACGCCGAATTTGTTTCGGCTATTGCGTTTCATCATCATTATTATCTTCATTACAGCCCTTCACAAGTCCACTGCTGAACATCCTCCCCCATAGATTGCCTCATAGGGGGGATATTTGCCATAGTTGTAATGTTAGTTGTTTTGAAAATTTCACCTCTCAGTGGGTCATGTGCTCCTGGTAGATTATCTTCTATACATCCATCCATTACGGCCTTATAAAGTCCACTGCTATAAACATAGGCCTCCCCCATAGATTGCCTCATAGGGGGGATATTTACCATAGTTGTAATGTTACTGTTGATTTGAAAATTTCACCTCTCAGTGGGTCATGTGATCCTGGTAGATTATCTTCTATACATCCATCCATTACGTCCTTATAAAGTCCACTGCTATAAACATAGGCCTCCCCCATAGATTGCCTCATAGGGGGGATATTTGCCATAGTAGTAATGTTACTGTTGATTTGAAAATTTCACCTCTCAGTGGGTCATGTGCTCCTGGTAGATTATCTTCTACACATGCATCCATTACAGTGGGCCATTGTGTTTGGTTGCTTTAAATGTTTGCTGAAAGTCGTCATTATGATTTCCTTTTTAGTTCTTAACTCTTTTACTGACTCTTGCATTAATTCGGCAAGACTACTCCAGGCATCTGCCACTTCTTTTTTATATTTTTGATAGAAATATTTGGGATTCCAGATGCATGGTTCCACACATTCGTTACAGCTTATAAGTATCCACTGCTGAACCTAGACCTCTATTATGTTGTACGTATGTCTCTATTATGTTTTTTTGTTCCTTTATATTATTCTATTATTATTTTAAGAAGGAGCTTTAAGGTCGAGCTGGCCCATTCTTGCTACAATTGTACTACTAATATAGCTGCAGCTTGGCTCTACCATGTGTATAAAGTACCTACTATTGAAAAAAATTAGGTACTAAATTTAAAAAAAAAAGTTGTAACTTCAGTAGGTTGTATCGGTCCCGCAGGTTCGTTCTGGTCGAGGAGCTGGAGTGGGGCGGCAGGGCGGGCGCCGGTCCGCAGCAGCGCGCGCTCGCTGATGATGAAGTGGTTTACGCGGCGCAGGTGAGGAAACGTACAGTTTTATTTACATTTTGTCTTAATACATAATATAGCCGTGTAGTGGCGGTCAAGAATATCCACTACCCCATATCCTCCCGTGGGTGTCGTAAAAGGCGACAAAAGGAAACAGGCAGGAGATGGGCAGCAGCATCTTCCTGATAATAGCCAAAATTACAATAAAAAAACTGCGGTTGCCAACCCGCTCGCAAAGCGTGGCAACTATGGCAAATACCCCCCAATGAATGTAACAAAGAGACGGCCCCCAGTCCCCGGCAGCCCCGCTATTCCTGGCTACGGTGGCGACCATGGTAACGGCGGGGCAGGGGGTGCTAAGAATCTCCGGTGGAGGTTCGGTTGCCACCTTAGACGACTCGACCTGGCAACGTACAACGCACGCACCCTGAGGACTGAATAGAAGATCGTGGAGCTGGAAGAAGAGATAGACAAGTTGCGCTGGCATATTATAGGATTATTCGAAGTCCGAAGAGAGGGGGAGGACACGGTAATCCTCGAATCCGGCAACTTGCTCTATCACCGGGAGGGCGACCATCTGTCCCAAGGAGGTGTCGGATTTATCGTCCACAAGTCTCTCGTTAACAACGTTGTAAAGATCGGGAGTGTGTCGACGAGGGTTGCGTACCTTATACTCAGAATCACCAAACGGTATTTCACTGAAGGTCATACAGGTTTACGCACCAACCTCGGCACACCTCGATGAGGAGGTGGAGGAAATGTATGAGGATATCTCTAGAGCCATGCATTCCTCCGAACCCCAATATACGGTGTTAATGGGAGACTTCAATGCAAAACTAGGCACAAGAGAGAACGGTGAGCTGAAAGTAGGGAAATTTGCAATAGGGCAACGGAACCCAAGGGGCCAGCAGCTGGCCGACTTCATGGAGAAAGAGGGACTCTTTATGATGAACTCTTTCTTCCAGAAGCGGCCCCACAGGAAGTGGACCTGGTCGAGCCCCGACGGTTCGACAAAAAATGAGATTGACTTCATTATGACGACCAGACTACAACTGTTCAGTGATGTCTCCGTGATCGCGAGGGTGAAAACTGGTAGCGATCACCGAATGGTTAGAGGCACACTGAACCTAATCGTTAAGTTGGAGAGGTCTCGTCTAATGAAGTCAACGCTCCGTCCCCCTCGTGCTCTGTTCCAAAGTCCCGAAACCTTTCAGCTCGAGTTACAAAACCGTTTTCAGTGCCTAGAAGACTGCAATGAAGTGGACGATATGAATGACAAGCTCGTGGAAACTGTCCATGCGGTCGGAGCTAAGTTCTGCAAGACCCGCCGCAGAAGAACACAAAAGCTCTCAGATCACACTCTTAATCTCATGGCTGTTAGACGGGAGATGAAGCTACATTCATCATCAGACTTGACAGCATACAGGCATCTGAACAGACAGATCTCCAAATGCATGCGGCGGGACTTACGCAACTTCAATACAGCTCGTATTGAAGAAGCGATCGAGCGGAACCAAGGCTCCAAAGTCTTTGCCAGAGATCTGTCTACCAGAAAGAGCCACCTGTCAAAGCTGAAGACAGAATGTGGCAGCATCGTTTCCGGGACACCTGAGATCTTGAGTGAGATTGAGAGGTTCTATGGGCAGCTGTACACGGCATCGTTGAAGCCACACGCAAGTGTGAGTAACGATCCAAGAGCGAGTCTCATCCGACACTATTCCGAAGATATCCCGGACGTCAGTCTGAGCGAGATTAGAATGGCTCTCCAGCACCTTAAAAACGGTAAGGCCCCAGGCGAGGATGGAATTACAGCGGAGCTTCTGAAAGCGGGTGGAAAACCGGTACTTGAAGTCCTTCAGAAGCTCTTTAATTCCGTCCTCCATGGTGGCATTACACCGGAGGCGTGGAGCAGAAGTGCGGTGGTCTTGTTCTTCAAGAAAGGTGACAACGCTTTCTTGAAGAACTACAGACCGATTTCCCTTCTGAGCCGCGTCTACGTGCTGTTTTCGAGAGTCATTACGAATCGTCTCGCGCACAGACTTGACGACTTCCAGCCTCCCGAACAAGCCGGTTTCCGAAAGGGCTCTAGCACCATAGACCACATACATACCCTTCGGCAAATTGTACAGAAGTCCGAAGAGTACAATTTGCCACTATGTCTGGCGTATGTGGACTATGAGAAAGCCTTTGATTCCGTCGAAATGTGGGCGGTGCTGCAGTCCCTTCAGCGATGCCAAGTTGACTGTCGGTATATCGAAGTGTTGAAGTGCTTGTGTTGGGCTACGATGGCTATCCGAGTACAGAACCAGAGTACGAAACCTATCCAATTGCAGAGAGGTGTAAGACAGGGTGACGTCATATCCCCGAAACTCTTCACCGCTGCATTGGAAGACGTTTTCAAGCTTCTGGACTGGAAAGGATACGGTATCAACATCAATGGCGAGTACATCACTCACCTTCGATTTGCCGACGATATAGTCCTTATGGCAGAATCGCTGGAGGACCTAAACACTATGCTCAATGACCTCGATAGTGTTTCCCAACGGATAGGTCTTAAGATGAACATGGACAAAACAAAGATCATGTTCAATGTCCATGTCACGCCTATGCCGGTAGTTGTTGGGAGCACTAAGCTCGAAATTGTTGACGAGTATGTTTACCTGGGACAAATAGTCCGACTAGGTAAGTCCAACTTCGACCGAGAGGTCAATCGACGGATTCAACTCGGCTGGGCAGCGTTCGGGAAGCCACGACACATCTTCTCGTCAGACATACCTCAAAACCTGAAAACGAAATTGTACAACCAGTGCGTGTTGCCAGTGATGACTTATGGAACTGAGACGTGGTCCTTCACTGCTGGCCGTATGAGGAGGCTCAAGGTCGCTCAGCGAGCTATGGAGAGGGCTATGCTCGGAGTTTCTCTGCGTGATAAACTTAGGAATGAGGATATCCGCAGTAGAACCAGAGTAACCGACATAGCCCAACGGATTAGTAAGCTGAAGTGGCAGTGGGCCGGCCATATAGCTCGAAGAACCGACAACCGATGGGGAAGAAAGGTTCTCGAGTGGCAGCCTCGTACCGGTAGGCGAAGTGTAGGGCGTCACCCCACGAGATGGAGTGACGACCTGGTAAGACATGCAGGAAGTCGATGGATGCAGGTGGCTCAGGACCGTGCTTTGAGGCATTCTTTGGGGGAGGCCTATGTTCAGCAGTGGATTTGTGAAGGGCTGTAATGATGATGATGAATGACACATAATAGACAGTAAAGAAATTTAACAAATATTAAAATACAAAGCAAGCACAACATGTTCAATAAAACTAATGTTACGGATTTTATTGCGTTTGTATTAACTCATGTTTTTACTTATTTCAACGACGAACGTATCGGATTAATATGAGGGGCATTTACGACCTTTTCTGACACCAGGGCGGCGCCGCTCGGGAATGAGTTGAAATAGATTTCATTAAGAAAGTGTAAATATAAATGTTTCTCTCTGAAATATTAGTTATCTTAAATTATATATTATATAAAAATTAATCTTTGTTTCTTCGTATTTAATACGCTGCCATACCGTTAATCAGATTGCGTTAAAACGCCATGCGCTTTTGCATTACACTTAGCTACATAAGTTAGTTCTTAAGCCATTTTGTTAAATACAGTGTAATCAAACATTGGTAAACATTAATAAATAAAATAAAAAATAAATAATATAAAAACACCGTCACTACCCGCCACTTCACTACCTCGCCTACTTATTTCTCTTCTTTACAGGCAAGTTGGAAAACGTTAGGAAGATTCGTTCTACAGGAAAAAGGCACTACTGCTCCAGTCCCAAAGCACAGAGCCGCTATCGCAAGGATACAGCGAGGCTTGAGCATGACCAGGGGAGCGATTACAGGTTAGTTATATTTATACGTGTTAGAGCCACGCTGCAGCTATGTTATGATTATAGCACGAATGGGTAGACTCGACTGGGGAAGGACCACGCTCTCACAGAATACCAGCGTAAAATCTAAAGACAGCTCAATGCTAAAGACATTTTTTAACTGGGCACGTTGCATTCCATGTAAATCCTAACGGATGCCAAATGCATTTTGATTCTTAATCGAGGGTAGATATATATATCTTAGGGGCACTTACCATCAGATGGACTGTGTGCTAGTTTGTCACCCTTGTTCCATAAAAAGGGGCTTACTTTGATTGCAGGCAGCACTTTTCCATTGGCTGGTCTGAGTTCGAGCGACAGTGCTGTTGGGGAGGGCAAGGCGCCCGTGCAAGCCGCTTACAGCGACCCTACACATTGCAGGTGATTCCTTATTCTCAAATTTTGTTACAAGATATGGAATAACAGTTATTTGAAATAATTAAAAATTAAAATTTTTATACAGTCGACTTCAATATAAATTATTTTCGTGCACGGCTGTGTTCCAGTGTGAAGTGTATACCGAGCCAGGATATTTGCAAGCTGTAAGGCATTCCATCTTAGTTTTCCGAGGTGACAACGCATCTCTAACCTTCTTTGTTTGAAATTGGCAGTAGGTGTCTAAGAACTGCAGTAGCTACTAACCGTTTGGATGACGACTGAATGATGACGTTTGCCATTTCAGTTTTATAAACGAAAGAAGTGATAAAATTAAAAAAATTGTACAACTGACTTGAATATAAATAAAATGAGAACATCGTCAATGTAGTCGATATAAATTAAATACGCATTATTAAGGATAACTCAAAAACTACTGGTCAGATCTTGATCAAATTTATCATACCACATAAGTAACACCAGCTTGCAAATAAGAAAAGCGGTTCACCTAGAAAAGGTTCTGAGGTAACACAAATAAAAAATACTTTCGAATTAAGAACCTCCTCCTTTTTTGAAGTCGTTTGAAAAAGGTCAACAGTTTATTTTTGATATTAAATATATATCTTACGTGGTAGAGCCATGCCATATATATTACTGGTATAGTTGTAGCACGAATGGGTCGGCTCGACCGGGGAAGGACCACGCTCTCACAGAATACCAGCGTGAAATAGCAGCTCAATGAGTGTAGAGAACCGGAGACCTTTTTTAATGGTAACGAGATTTTCCATCTTAGTTCTCACGGGTGACAACGCATCTGTATTTTGATACGTAACCGAGGATAGATGTAGATGTCTATGGGCCGCAGCGACCACTTACCATCAGGTGGACTGTGTGCTCGTTTGTCACCCTTATCCTATATAAAAACAATGCTACGTACCACTCTACTGTGGTGATTTCTAAAATAGAAAGCTTATACAGTCTATACATTAATTGCGGTAAACTAACCCAAACTAGAAATAATATTTTTGATGCTCATAGTATACCATATCTCGATAACCGATAGAGTGATCAGTAACGCCGTGGCCAAACGTTTGTTTAATGTCCACCAGACTGAATTTCAGTCTCAACGGAAACAAGACAAAATTATAGTGCACGAGTGTGTGTGCAAGCACAGGTGCACTCTCTATTGTCTAACTCGCATAAACCGATAATATGGCCCTGAAACCAGAGGTAAATCAGGTGCAGATCAACTGCTTCACGTGTATTCTGAGGCACGGGGATGAAACACCGCCATCGTCTTGACTCCTGACTGCCACTGAGAATTTTGTTATCAGTAAAACAATTTTGGAGGTTTTGATATTTTTGGCGGTCGTAGCACCTATTTTGGCTGCCACTGCAACAGTGCATACATTGCATTTTAGTCCTCGAAAGTGACAGCCGCCTCTACAGCCTGCGTTGTTTGAAGATTGTGCCAGGCGCTCTTTAGCCTTATGAAACAAGGTATTATTGTCGGTAATCCTGTTCTTCTATTCACAGAAGGGTATCCACGTCGCCTCTTGGAAAGGGCGTCGGACGAGCGAAAGGGCACTCAGATAGAGACATCAGATCCTTCATGCAAAGGAGGGCCGGCTCCAGAGAGGTAAAACCTTTAACCAATCGTATATTTCTATTCTATTCTTATGTTCTCTTTATTACTTTAGGAACATAAACCTTTCCATTACATTTCGTTACAGCCTATTAAAGTCCAAAGTGAACATAGGCCTCCCCCATAGAGTACCTCATAAAGGGATTTTGCCATAGTGTTACTGTTGATTTGAAAATTTCACCTCTCAGTGGGTCATGTGCTCCTGGTAGATTATCTTCTATACATCCATCCATTACAGCCTATTAAATGCTATTGATGAACATAGGCCTACCCCATAGATTGCCCTCATAGGGGGGATATTTGCCATAGTTGTAATGTTACTGTTGATTTGAAAATTTCACCTCTCCGTGGGTCATGTGCTCCTGGTAGATTATCTTCTATACATCCATCCATTACAGCCTATTAAAGTCCACTGCTGAACTTAGGCCTCCCCCATAGATTGCCTCATAGGGGGGATATTTGCCATAGTTGTAATGTTACTGTTGATTTGAAAATATTACCTCTCAGTGGGTCATGTGCTCCTGGTAGATTATCTTCTATACATCCATCCATTACAGCCTATTAAAGTCCACTGCTGAACATAGGCCTCCCCCATAGATTGCCTCATAGGGGGGATATTTGCCATAGTAGTAATGTTACTGTTGATTTGAAAATATAACCTCTCAGTGGGTCATGTGCTCCTGGTAGATTATCTTCTATACATCCATCCATTACAGCCTATTAAAGTCCACTGCTGAACATAGGCCTCCCCCATAGATTGCCTCATAGGGGGGATATTTTCCATAGTCGTTACGCTTGACAAGCGAGTTGGCAACCGATGACAGCTGAATAGAAGTTTTCTATTATTATTCAGATCTTATCAGGAAAACGCTGCTGCCCATCTCCTGGTTCAGTTTCCCTCTGTTGCCTCTTACGAAACCTACGGGACGATATGTGCTAGTGGATATTCTTACACCGCCACTACATGGGAATTTTGGCGGGAACTTGACCGGCGACGGATTACTGCTCCTGTATTATTGTTTAAATAATGGTTTGAAGTGGATTTAGATATGTAAGAGTGGTGCGATTTTGTGTATTAAATGTCTACACATGTGAACTATTAGTGGAAACGGTGAAACAAGTGCTTTGATGGTGATATGATTCTCAAGATAAGGTGTCTGTCTGCTTAAGCGCCTTGATATACCATCGCCAACTGTCAGCTGTCCGCTGGCTCAAGTCGCCGTCAAAATTTCCCAAGGGCTGCACAACGTGACGCATCAACATATTGTGAAGCAGTGTACTACGCAGGATAATTATACATTGTAACTTCAGGCTCAGAAGGGCTAGAACCCAGAGCCGTAAAGCCAGTTATTTAAAAAAAACGCCACTACATGGTTTACGGCCAAATATTCAAACGCTACTCACTCATCTTCTCGTCAGACATACCTCAAAACCTGAAAACGAAATTGTACAACCAGTGCTTGTTGCCAGTGATGACTTATGGAACTTGGTCCTTCACTGCTGGCCGGATGAGGAAGCTCAAGGTCGCTCAGCGAGCTATGGAGAGGGCTATGCTCGGAGTTTCTCTGCGTGATAAACTTAGGAATGAGGATATCCGCATAAGAACCAGAGTAACCGACATAGCCCAACGGATTAGTAAGCTGAAGTGGCAGTGGGCCGGCCATATAGCTCGAAGAACCGACAACCGATGGGGAAGAAAGGTTCTCGAGTGGCAGCCTCGTACCGGTAGGCGAAGTGTAGGGCGTCCCCCCACGAGATGGAGTGACGACCTGGTAAGACATGCAGGAAGTCGATGGATGCAGGTGGCTCAGGACCGTGCTTTGTGGCATTCTTTGGGGGAGGCCTATGTTCAGCAGTGGACTTGTGAAGGGCTGTAATGATGATGATGATGACTCACTTTTAAGCTGTCGTTATATCTCGTGTTGTCACAGTCACTTTGGCATAAAACGATAGAGACAGCTCGATACTTAGCGGCAACTCTAGCGTTTGAGTATTTGGACATTAGTTGGTTGCATTTTTTATTATTTAAGTGAAAACTTCTTTAAAAGCGATGTAACGAAAAAGCGACACTAGAAGGAGACAAACATATACATTTATAAGATTTAGCCTGCGAGAGAATGAGATGGAATACAGTATACAGTATTTCCTATTATGTCGATCTTCTTTGCTGAAGGTTTCACTTTTACCGCTACCACACACATTTTTTTAATTATTTAGGTCCATTCAGAGGGCGAAGCGGGGGGATCGTTGGGGGCAGAGGCACTTGCAGCACAGATGGCGCGCTTCAAGAGAGTATCTTTGAGGAAGCTCCGCGCTTGGCGATCCTGAGTGTGGCAGGTATGCTTTTTTTAAAGAAGAGGGGGCACGAGCATGCGGCTCATCTGATGGTAAGTAACTACCGCCGCCCATGAAAAACTGCAACATCAGGGAAATTGCAGATGCGTTGCCGACCATTTAGAAGGTGTAAGCTCTTTATTGGAGGTCCCTAAGTCGTATCGGCCCGGGAAAATCGCCGGTGGTAAACAATTCCACAGAAAAATTGTACGAGGAAGAAAACTCCTAGTAAAACGCACATTCGTGGACCGCCAAGCATCCAGATGGTGAGGATTGTATCGTGAATTTTGACACGATGTGCATTCGCTGGAATTAATCCAAACAATTCCACAGAGCACTCCCCGTGGTAGATTCGATAGAAAATGCAAAGGGATGCAACATCCCTACGCAGTGCTAGTGTATCGAGCCGATCAGAAAGAACTCGGTAGTCGACGATTCGAACCGCTCTGCGCTGGATGCGGTCAAGTGTAAGGAGCTGGCACTGGGGTGCTCCGGCCCAGAGATGAGAACAGTACTCCATGTGGGGCCGAACTTGCGCTTTGTAAAGTTGCAAGCGATGTGCTCGCGTGAAATACTGTCTTGCTCTGCTGCTCTGCTGCGGCCTTCTTTTCCAAGTGACCACGAAACGTATTGGATGAATAGCATAAAGTAGCCCAGGCGCGAATCCGTGGTACAAGTTTGGAGGGGAATTAGAGACTGACTTAATTACGGCATTCCTATATCTTGAATGAAAGTTTGAAAGCTTTTATAGAATAAGGATGACAAGCATACACACAGTCCACCTGATGATAAGTAGATGCTGTGGCCCATGTATATCTACAGATATATCTCCTCGATTAAGAATCAAAATGCTGATGCATTGTCACCCGTGAGGACTAAGATGGAATGCCTCATTCCCAGTAAAAAGGGTCTCCAGTTCTCTACACTCACCATACGAAACACAGTAGCCGACCAGTCAGAATCAGTCGAGCCGACCCATTCGTGCTACAACCACGTAAGAAGTTTGGAGGAAAGCAAAACAATACTTAAAAATATATATTGGGGTTCACGTGGCCGATAACCCGTTCCCTAGCTGCACGCCTAGAATGACCAACGTCATTTTATTTATTTCCCGTGCATTTCTGACTTTGTGTAGTATTTCTCACTTAACAGAGTGTTTTGAAAATTCATCCATTACTAATCCACCTTCAATTAATAATGACGAAAGATACCTTTTCTAGATACCTAGTGATTATCACAAAATGGTATCATTTAACTACCAAGCTGTAAACAAATCATTTTTGACCACATACTATAGTACGTGAGGGTAATATGGTCACCCGGTTAATATAGTAACTTTCTTATAACTCAAAAACTACAGCCTTGTTTGCATAGATGGCTCTGTGATACGATAGCTCTTCATTAGTCAATCAAATAATAAAGTGTCAAAATGGCGTCGTATCATCGACGCCATTAATACAGTTGAAATTATGGTAAATATTTTAGTCGATTATAGTATTGTGTAGTCTACTTAGTTTTTTTAAGGTGATTTTTCGAAGTTTTTCTCATTATTGCCAAAAACTTGTTTGCTATTTTTTTTTGTCTCTGTCCTCCTCCTAGTTTTGGTTTTATAGGGCGGCAAACCTTAAGGTGACCATATTACCCTCACGTACCTTATAGTAATAAGTTTTACCTTATCATTTCCAGAGTAGGCTATCAGGTTTTTATACGTGGTAGAGCCATGCTGCAGCTATATTAGTAGTATAGTTGTAGCACGACTGGGTCGGCTCGACCGGGGAAGAACCACGCTCTCACAGAATACCAGCGTAAAATAGCAGCTTGACACTGCTGTGTTCCGTATGGTGAGTGTAGAGAACCGGAGACCCATTTTACTGGAAAAGAGGCATTCCATCTTAGTCCTCACGCGTGACGACGCATCTGCATTTTGATTCTTTATTGAGGATAAATGTAGATGTCTATAGGTCACAGAAAACACTTACCATCAGGTGGACTGGGTGCTCGTTTGTCACCATATCCCATAAAGAAAAAAGGTGGGTGATAAGTACTTGATGTTATACGAAGCCTGCTTCGACAGTCAACTCCTGACAACTGTTTACGTGCGGCCTTTCAATTTTTTGAATATTACGACAGAGCATGTGATAATTACAACCCTTAAGATTTAGTTTAATTAATCCTTTTTCCTTCTCTGAATCATAATTATAGGTACACATTCCAAGTACTTGACCGTTGGTCGGCACATATCATACAGGTACACGACCCGGTCCCCCTAGCTTCTACCCCCCACGTTACTACCAAGACAAATGTATCTTTATCCTATTCATTTTTGCCAAAACCTGTTCCTATATCACGTTGTCTTTGCCGCATAGTTTATAGTGATATAATATAACCGAAAGAGATAGCATTATTTTTTTAGTTTTAAACGTGGCAGATACACACTACAGCGATATTTTGGTTGCAGCACGAATGGGTCTGCTCAACTGGGGAAGGATTATACTCTCACAGAATAGCAGCGTGAAATAGCAGCTTAATACTGCTGTGTTTCATGTAATGAATGTAGAGAGCTTCCTAGAGAGACATTCTATCTTAGTCCTTAGGAATGAGAACGCATTCTACATTTTGATTCGTAATCGAGGAATAATTTCTTCATCAGCTAAAAAACTGCAGACAACACCCCTCTATTTTTGGGAGAAGTCTTATGACAGGCTGTAATAATAATGATGATGATGATGAATATGATGAATTATTACTTCCAATTCTAAATCGAAATGTATTCAACATTTACAGGTACTACGCCGGCTTGGTACTAGTTTAGCTAACCACCGAGCGTCACTGTCCTCTGAGCTGGGCTCCATTTGGGATTTCATACGAATTGATAAAGATAGGCGACGATCAGCGCCCTCTACTACTTACGAGTCCATTGACTCCAGATCTCCCGTCAGACTGGCAAGGGACTTACTACAAGTCGTCCAGGAGACTGTATTTTCTAAAAGACTGGACGAAACTCCCAAAAGATGTCCACTGGTTAAGGAAGAATCGGACCTTACCGCATCTGATGAAGAAGAAGGAACGGACAAAAGGATCGCGAATCTTATAGACTTCTTTTTTACAATTGTAAAAAGTCAAAAGGAAGACAGAAAAAGTAGCGGCGGAAGCTGCTTCAAGAGTGAAGTGAGTCCCGAAGAAGAGGAGAAGTTCGTTCCAACTCGTGTTAACACAGAATTGGAACAGAAGATGGAAACTCTAATGGAGTTCTTGGCAACAAGTGGTTGTACGGAAAACGACAACGATGGGCAGGACAAGAAGAAGATTACACTCATGGAATTTCTATTTGGGCCGGATGAAAGAAAATGGGACAAACCGTTGATAGAACTAAATGGAAAGGGAATCAGTTTATCCGAGTCGAACGTGAACGTTAAAAATCTCTCTTTTATCGATGAAACACCGGTGGAAGACGGAAATGAGACATTAGTCGAGATGCTTTTAAAATATATGGAAAATTACGGCAGCAAAGAGAAATTCAAAGATTCTGTGACACCATCACTATCGGAGAAGTCAAAGTCTGATATGACAATTAGTAAATTGGAAACTTTTAGTGATGTGAGTAAGACTAAATCCGATTCGACATTGACGCAAACGCAGGATACCGTGATTGATCGAGGTGACGATATGCGCTCAGGGAGATCAAGTAGAAGGATTTCAGAAACAGTTGTCGACTTAAGTTTTATTAAAGAAGACTTAGAAAGTATATTCGAAGAAGCTGTTATTCGCATTAACGAACTGATGATGATGTATGAAGACGACACTATGACCGAGCAAGAGGATTTAGAAAACTTTAATGCCTACACCAATCCACCACCACTACAATATGTACAATACTTACCTTATAGCGTGGAATTGTCTGACATAATGGAAGAAGATGAGCCGTCTTCTAGAGGGTTAGAGCGGATGACGTCAGAAGAAGATCGATTTGCACAAGTTAAACAACTTGCAGAAGATGTAGTGCGTTATATAGAAGAGAAAATAAAGGATTATCCAATTCGCGACGGTAACGATGATAGTTCCGGCCCGTCCACAGAAGAATATAGCAGAGAATATGAACTTAGCACGAGATCTATAAGTCTAATAGACCTAAGAAATATACCAGATTTGCCACCGAGTATGATAATCAAGCCTAAAGTACTGAAATTAGATAGATCTACATCAACTACGGAGATCTCTGAATCGATATCTGAACTATTGAGAAGGGTTGATTCAACGTGTATGACCGAAGAAACATCATTATCCACAAGTTCCGAAAGAAACGAGAGGGTAATGGATAAAATCGAATCATTACATAAATTCTTTTCTAAATCACGCTTAGAAATTATCGATGAGAGCATGGAAGATAACGGCGACAGAATGAAAAGTCCGAAAGAAGTTTTCCAGAGTTGGAGTAATTTAAAAAATGAACACAGGCACTACAAAGAGGCACAATCCAGTTTAGATGACGTGGAAGACATATTGGACGACAATGAAACTGTAATAACTTAAGTTGAAAATTTAAAAAACCTCCGTAGCAAAAAGAACTGATGATTTTCAAACGGCTGAGCAGATTTTCTTGAAACATAGCTAAGAGCACTCTCGATTAAGACGCCTTACAAACGAAAAAAAACTTGATTAAAATCGGTTCATCCGTTCAGGAGCTATGATGCCACAGACAGACACACATATACACTGATACACACAATTACCATAACATAATATAACATAACTTATAAAAAAACAGAAGTGCTGTTTTCGTCAGGAGTTAAAAAGTAGAGGGCAATGACAATCGTGAGAGTAACACTGACATTGATGGTGACGCCAAATAAACTAATAAATAGAATCAGGCGTTACTTTACGGAAGTCCCTTATATTAAATTTGGTAAAAAATTACTTCGCGTACATCCGCTCGATAAAATAAAATTATGTGTCTTACCTAGTTTGAAGAGCACTTAATAAACTGTCAACGCACA